CTTTGGGATCATTACAAGAAAAGTTGAGTTTAGAGATTTTATAAAAGAGCCATGGTTGTGAAAGTCATTGAAGAATTCGATGATGTTGCTTTTAATGATATCCTAAAATGTTTGGAGGAATTTAAAGTTAAATCCATTAAGTTTGGAGGTTTTATCCTCATCACTATCATGCAGACAAGCAGTAATTTCTTTTTTAGTAAATTTCTCCTCCAATTGAGTGCACCCCTTTTCATTTAATCTGTTAAATATGAGATTATATTATTTTGGTCTGTAATCAAACTCTTCAGTGTATAATTTCTAGAAGTGATTTCTGGCACTATCCCTCAGGATTTCATTGCTTTTAATATAGTTCTCAATCATGAGTTCTTCAACATAGTTAACCCTTTTTCTATGGTTGGCTAATAGATGAAAGTACTTAGTATTTTTGTCACCATTGTTTAGCCATTTTTCTCTGAATTTTGGCTTCCAGGATATGGCTTCCATTTAAAGACAATTAGCCAACTCTGATTTTAGGGCGTTTCTCTTATCTTTGTTAGCAGGAGAAAGGATTGAATCTTCCTCATTTCTGTCCAACAAGTCAATCTCCATAAGCATGTCATTGATACATTCCTCTTCTTTTTTGCCATTAATTTTTACCCAAGCTTTTATCTCCTGTTTTAATTTTTTGAGTTTTTGTACAATTCTGTAGCTGATGGTCCCTTTCACCTGTGTGGATTTTCAACAGTCCACCACCATTGATTTGAAACTATTAAGGCTTAACCATTTGTTGTCGAGATAAAAAGGAATGGGGCCCCACTGAATGCCATCGAAAACTAACAGAATAGGAAAATGATCAGATGTTGGCCTAAACAGTACCTTCTGATTTATATCAGGTGATGTTCACAATAAATCAGAAGTAATGAGGAACTTGTCTATTCTAGAGAACAAAGGATTTTCCCTTGGATTTCTCAAGTCCACCTACTCCCCTTAAGAGACAAATCATTAAGATCAATTATGTCAATAAAGGACCTGAATTCTTCAATTTTAGAATCAATGGAATTGTTGCCTAACCTTTCAACCCTATGTAGAATCATAATATTGGAATCGGCGCTGACAATACCTTTGTTCCCTCAATTGATTCTGATATGTTCAAGCTCATTCCCCAATAAGAGTCATTCATTGGGATTGTTCCTGGTTTTTGCCTTCGTAGTCAATATCAAAAGATTTTCTACCAATAAGAATAAATATTTTAGAGTTTACGAGCCTCATATTGATAGAGAAAAAGCCATCGGTCAACCCTATGATGGACTCCGAAGACAAGGGGAACTCTCTATAGCAAATTTTTGGTTAGTCCGGGAGAAGATTGGTTGTGGATGGGGGGTGTGTTCCGTGTTCCTATTCTCATTCCAATCCAAGTTGCGCGGAAAGAACAATTTCAAAAGGGATTTTTATGAGTTAAAATCAGAAAAATTCTCTTGAGCAATTAACCATGACTTACCTAATTTGAAATAATGATGAACAGATCTTGTACGAGATTTGCGCTTGATCTTTAATATGTTCTCTTTCCTAGTTGATGCCCTTGCAATCTTTCACTATATGTTTCATTTTCTTGTATTATACCGCGCTTATTAGCCTAAAACTCAATTGACATTGTTAGCACAAAAGTAAGTTTATGTCATTATCAAAATCAATAACATAATTCATTTTGTTCAACAATCTCTTTGTTTATGGATGGCAAACCTTATTTTCTTCAAAACAATATTTATCTTATAAGAAAGCATTTTAGATAATCTTAAAAAATATCTCCCTTACTAAGTTTAAGATATCTCCCCTTTAACAAGTGTTTCGTATTCTTTCTTTTAAAGTACAACTAAGAAATATTTTATCCATCATCTATTCATATATCTCTAACAAAACTTTAAGGCAATTTTAAGTCGTGAGATATTGAGCAATTAAAATTTCAGCAATTTTTTTTTTTTTAATCTTTCCTATAGTGCTTTACCATTACCAATATTTCTTTACAAATAATGATATTTCTCCCTTTTTTTATCATCAATCAAAAAGTATTACCAGTGAAAGAATTTTTCTCCAATATTTCTCGCCCTTCTTCTTTATAGAAATCAAAATATAAATAGTAACAATAAAAATTCATGTGCTAGCCAAATAATTTAGAAAATGAATTTCCAAAGAATTTTAAGCATAGGCAAACAGGAGAAGTATTCCACATTAAAGAGATTTGTGAAATATATTCAAGGTTGTATGAAGAAAACATAGTAGCAAAATACATACATAAAAAAGCATACTATTAAGAGGGACTACACAACAATCAACAAAGTAAAGTGGACAAGCAGTCTCCATAAATATTACAACCCATATTGGTCCATGTTAATTCAAACAAAAGTTAAGCACAAAAGTTTTATCACGGATCATTTTATCATTAAGGATTTTAATCAAATTTGAATTCCACACCTATGAGTTTAAGTTTTGATTGAGGATCTTTATTTTAGCTATCAGTTTATCATTTTGTTCAATAGTTCACTTAAGTGGAGATTCCAGCACAATTATGGATGCAATTGAGGGCTATAAAGTTATTAGATGTGCTTTATCAAGTTCTTGATGCGAGGTACCAGGAGTTTGAATCATGCTATAATTGATCTTTGGTTTCTTGCGACATGTAGAGGCTAATTGGGGTTTCATGGTCTTGAGAGCTAAATGATCATAGATGTTACTTGAGAGGATCTCAATGCCTTTTTATTTACATAGAATTTCCACATCTATGTGTAATATGGCAATAAAGGGACATGAGGGATCCAAAGGGTAGTGGGGCTGATTTAGTCTTAATACCTTCCATCTTTTTGAAAATGATGTAGAGCAATTAACAAGTTTTCCAGTCACGAAGTGTTACATTATCAGGGTTTTCATAATCGATACCCGTGTGGTAGCAATAGAACAAGACATAATATTTATTCTAATTATGTTATGGAGGATTCAAAGATCCTACAGAAAGTCTTGAGCTATAGGCTTCTTAGTTTAAGGAAAACTTGTGTTTCAAGTCGGAAACTTGTAGGCCTCTTAAGTATTCAAAATCAAGAAAATTAGTTAGCCATACCCAACTTCATAGAAAGTGACTTACCTACATGGAATTAGCATTTACCAAGCTAATATTCAATGGTTACCTCTACATATGCATTCCCTAGCCTAGTTAGAATGTGTCTAGAGACATTAACTCTCATATTTACATAGAATGAATGAACAATCTTGGGATAAATTTTATGGGTATTAGCCAAAAAGTAATCTCACTCTTGTTGTTTCAACATTATATGATTTAAGTAAAAACCAGTTTGAAATTTAAAAAAAAGGCTACAAACTTATTCTAGTAATTGAACTAGTTTTTGAGGATTGAAAATTCATGCCTTCAGCATGCTCAGAGGCTTGTAGCTGTCCTCTTTGTGTCTACTCATCAGAGGGTTCGGAAGAGGGCTTCAAGTTAACAGATGGCTGCTGAGACTCTGAAATTAGAGTCATCTCTAGATTCACAGGGATGTTCCTGCTCTTGAGATGGGAACTGATTCTAAGGTGTATGTATATATATATATATATACATATATTCATGTATATTATAATGTAGTTCATTCTATTCTTTTGTTTTCCTTTTTACTTTATTTCAATTGTGGGCAGACAAGGCATGGATTTTTATGAGTCCTCAAAATTTCTTGGCCATTCACCCGCACTTCTTACGGGAAATCGAATTGTAAGTATTTCAGTAATTACAACATCTGCATGTTCCTACATATATATGTACAAATACAAGTATTTTAGTTATATTTGCTGCCACGAAGGAGCTTGGAGGATCACAAGCTAGAGACTCTGCAGCTGGACTTGGACTTGTGTTTGCAACGGAGGCTTTGCTAGCTGAATATGAATACTCAATTGCTGTCATGACATTTGTTATACAGGTGTGGGCTATCAACATGATGTTTGACATAGAGAGAGTGTATATCTATTGTATAATATAATATATCATGTCTTTTTTTTTCCCTAGGGTTTTGGAAATGTGGGATCTTGGGCTGCAAAGTTGAAACATGAGAATGGGGGTGAAGTGATTGCAGTGCTGACACAAATGGAGCAGTGAGAAAAGAAGCACATAGAGAAACTCCAAGCTTTGAAAATTTGAATTGGCAGATCCCATGGACCCAAATCAACTTCTTGTTCATGAATGTGATGTTCTTGTTCCATCTGCACTTCGTGGAGTTCTCAACAAGTATACATATAATACATACATATATATATATATACTTCTATCACATAAACCTCTCTATCTCACACTTTGTTGCATTCCCATCTTATTCTTATTTTGTCACTCTCTGCTCAACGAGAAAATGCCATTGACGTCAAGGCCAAGTTAATAATAGAAGGAGCAAATCTCCCAACAGACCCAGAAGCAGAAGAGATAATCAACAATCCCATCGGCAAGAGTTTAACTCTCTTTATCACTCATTAGAAAATAAAATGCCATTGGTGCAGATATTGTCCAAGAAAGGCGTTGTGGAACTGTCAGCTACTTTGAGTAGGTTCAGGTAACAGAAAGCATACACATTCACACACATCTCTACATAATACATATACGGTTCACTTGTTAACCTGGTAAATGGCATATGTATGTATGGTACAGAACATTCAAGGATTCATGTGGGAGGAGGAGAAAGTGAGATGTGAGGTGTTAGGTGAGAAAGTGAGATGTGAGGTGTTAGGTGAGAAAGTACGTGAGGAAGGCATTCCATGACTAAAAGGAATGTGTCAAACTCACAACTGCAATCTGTGAATGGACATCTCTGCTCTTGAGGGCTTGGGAAGCTTGATCATTTCTACCCTTCTGCTTCTTTTATTCTATAAGTTGTTCCTTTCATTTTGTATGATAAAAATAATAAAAAAATCACTTCATGCTGGTCCATAATGGACTGAAGACAAAGATAAGAAGTTGATGTGCAATCAATGCGATTGTGCATAAGTTGATTTGCAAATTTCAAACCAAATAAAGACAATAGGATAATTTATAAAGAGAAATTGAACATTCCCTAACTACAACCTACACATAGTGCATAAAATTTAAGAAATTTACTGACACTCGCTATGATCTACATCGCACTAGCATCTTCCATAAAGTTAAGAAACTTGGGGACTATTGATCACCACCGAAACTAAAAACATCTTGCATAAAATTTAAGAAATTGAGGACTAAACCTCACCAACATCTACCCTGCAATAGCATTACCCGGATAGCACAGGTTACACTAAGCACACCAAGGATATGAAGAAAGCAGACCTTTATAAAAGGTACAAACTATTCATACTTGGAACCGCTTGACTTCTTGTCCTGCCATGCTGCCTGCCATTGCTTGTCATAAAATGTCGTTTCCTCCAGCAACTTCTTGATGGTTTCTATATCCTCGTTCTTTCGGATGACTAGCACTCCAACAACAGCGATAAACAAGAGCGTTTTGCAAAAGAAATTTCCCATTTGATCCACCAGTCCTACTCCTGTGAGGCTATCAACGAAATAAGCCATAAAGAACCCTATCATCGCAGCCCGTCCTGCATAAAACTCAGGAAGCAGCACAAGTTAGTTTAAAATGAGCCACTCGAGAAGTTTCCTGACCCATAATAATGAACAAAAAAGACCAGTGATCTGCACAAACCATTAAGTAGTTCAGCTTCAGGTAAATGGAACCTCTTCATCCATGCCCACCAAGGTACAATGGAGGTGTCAAAAACAACAGGGTCATCGTTACTGGTTGTCTCTGGGTTCTCCTCGAACCATTTTCTCCTCCTAACCTCTGAGAAGAATAATCCAAGTAGATCAAGTAGATATCAAGGGACTCATGGAAGTATAAAAATATAAAATAAATTCATGGTAGCATGTCGATTAAAAGAGTGAAAATACAGGCAGCGGAAGTGATAATGGTATGTCATCTCCCAGTGTTTATCCAGACAACTACAATGTACTCAGTGGAGTTTAGATGCTTAAGAGGAAAAGGTTTTATTGTACTGCAAACTGGTAAATACACAGACGATTTGGCAAAACAAGCAAATACCGATGGTGAAGCAAAGATGAAGTCATTTACCACTAATATGCAGGAAATCAAGTTCATCCCTCAAAATGATATTATCTTCGGGAAAGGGAAAGACAAAAAAAATAGATCCATAAAATCAACAATGAAGATAAGATTCGTGTAAAATGCACTTACAACAAGGTGCTATCACACTTCATTAAGAAAATTTAATGGTTATTTGAAGTATCTTGTAAGATGACCATTTCAAAGACAAATTAATATAACACATGGTGTACCATATTGCTTATCTCCAAGCACATGTACTTGAATTCATGAAACAAAATTGATTTTTTGAAAAGACACTTCTACTTAACCAGGTCAGAGAAGAATGATTTCCTGAGTAACTTGAGACCAAGAACCATCAAGATTGTTTTCTCCATATAGTCACTAAAAATTATCTTCCTTCCTTACCCATCTACGAGTAAGATTCCCGCATGTGTTACAGTGTATTATTAGCCATTCCAGCTGGTTCACCTCCAAAAGGCAAAAAAGCAGGGGCAACCAGGGGAAACTACTTCCATGCAAGCCAAATGCATTACAAGGAAAATTGAAGTATTTGCAATTAATTACATAAATTAGGCGCATCCTCATCCATTCAGCTTCTGTAGTTGCTATTTATAGTTTCCATCTCACAACACTCATGATCACTTCCACGTAATCATCCTTTTCTTAGAGGATTCTAAAAGTTGGAAGGATCAAATTCGTGCTACATTTGGTTTTTAAATACCCAAATTCATTTACGTAGTTACATTAGTAAGCAGATACTCTTACTTAATAATTAAATTAAACGAACCAAAAAGTTCAAGTTGATGAAATGAACCAAAAAGGGAAAATCCAATCAAAAATCAAAAAGCCATAGCCATAAAACTCTCACCAGCATCAATAATCGCATCCCAATCAGTACTTCCATCTTTTTGGAACTGCTTCAAGTCCCAAGTCCCTCCAATCCATCTCGAATCCTGAAATTTAGCAGTGACTGCCTCCAATTTGGCGGCGCCATTTGATCCCAGAGAGGTTTCAACCTTGTTGGGAGCTTCGAGGGTAGTAGCAGAGGAGACAGGAGTTCCAGGTCCATTATCTGCTGAAGCCCTGGGGACAGCGAGGAGAAGCAAGGGTTTCCTGGAGGAGAAAGGAGAGGAAGAAGGGTTGAAGGAGAAGGTAGAAGAGAGCGATGTGGGAGGATGAGGCGGAGAAAGCAAGGCCATGGATATCGACATCCCCTCACTTGCTATCAGTTCATGGCTGGTTGATTTGAGTTTACATACAGCTTTTAAATAAATAAATATACATATATATTATATATATAGGAAGTGTGGCAGCATGCTGCTTTTCTGAAAGGAGATTATCTGTCTGTGTAATATGTAAATACGTACACAGAAACTTCAAAGCTCGTGTTTCAACCACACATAAAATGCCTGTGATTTTCTCATGCATGTGTAGGTATCAATTCAGACAAAGAGCTCAATTTTTTTTCTTTTTTTTGGTAAAATTTTAAAAATTATATCTATGGGATATAGAAATTAATTAAAATAATTAATTTGTATTATTTAATTATTCATATTGTAAAAATAATTATTATGAAAAATAGATGTTAACTTTCTAGCCATAGAGTGTATATATATATATTTTTCATTTTTATAATTGTAATATATAATTATATAATAATATGTTAAATATATTATATAAATAATTATAAAAATATATATCTAATTTAAATTTAAAGATAATTATTTATTATTTTTAAGTTTCTTGTTTAGCTTTCCATTATTTTCTTAATTTTTCTTAGGCAGTCATGTATGTTAGTAACAAGTCAATATCATGTAATGACTTGGAATTTCACCATGGCTAATGCAACATAAATAGAATTAAGCCTTATCAGGTAAATTACTCTATCGTACTCTTATATCTTCTAAGATTGTTTTTCAAGTTATGTCAGACATTTAGAAATCGTCTATTGTTTTTGAAGTCATCCCCTTGGCCTAATTCTTTTTCTTTTTATCTTTCACGCATTGTATTAAGGAAAATATTCTCTAAAAGGAGGTCATTTTCTATTAAGGCTAAACCTCTTATTTTGAAGTCGTGTACTCCTCACTTGATCTCCGGATAATTTAGATTTCTAATTAATAAACTTTGGGTCAAAATTAAAGGTTTACTTCTTTATATGATGAATGTCTTTAAATACTACCCAGATAAGTTCTCTAACAAGTACTCTTAAATATATAGATTTAGTGAAAAAAATTATTTTTAGCTTTAAATAGTTCTTATAGGCTATTTCTTACTCTAACTACAAAGGAGGAATTATAAAAAAAAAATTGATATCAAAAGCTTTATGAGTTTTATTATAATTATGATATAATCTTCTTTGAAACCAAATCATGTCTTATCCATAAATCTAATATGGCTTTATCTCTTAAAGGCAAATTCCTTAAGCCCTACGGGCCATGGATAAAGCTCGATTCCCTTCTACTTCCTTATTGACAAGCTTGGATAAAGTTAAGTCTCTGTTACACCAAATCCCAACCTCATCAATCTAGGTGGTGTTTTAAATCTTTTCCATCTTATCCTGGTCCAATATGCCTAGTCCTTCATTGGGCCTACTTCTATTATATATGATGCTCCTCCAAATTCCGATTACCTTATTTATTACATGTTCTCCTATATTACAGCTCTATTCAGTAAGTGTTTCCCTTTCCCTTTCATGTCACGCTCATCTTTTTTCTCTTTTAATACTTTAAATAGCTACTCATTACCATCATCTCAGGTGTCCAACACTCTATTAAGCTCTTTTCCAACTATTTGTAGTCCTAGGTCGCTCTCAATTACTGGTTTTACATAATCCCTTATCCTCATTCTACTATCTAAACTTTATCTAGCTTTAACTCGTTTGCCTCCACGTGCTCCCATGCTAAAGAACTTTAAGGGCCCTCGATTCTTAACTCCCCATGAAAGCCTAAAAAGGACAACGAGCCCAATTTGTTTGGGCCTAACTTATAAAAGCGCATCTCAACTCCAACCAGGCCCTTTCACTATCTTTTCACCCAAGTCTTTTCCTTTCCTTCCCCCATCATCACCTCGCCCATCCCTCCAAAAAGAATTCCCAAATTCCATACTCCAACGAAGGTCTCCTTAAGTCCATCAACTTCTTTATCTCCCTCTTTTTTTTTGCCAATTTTTTCTTACCTCTGTCAATCCACATGCTTAGGAGGTGAGCCCATCACCCATTTATTCCTCATGAGGCTACTAATTACTAATTTACAAGGCATCTACTTATCTTACTCGTTCATGGATTAATAATTTTTTAAGTTTTAGCAATTTGTTTGTGGTATTGTAATCAATTTTAATTAATTCTCTTTCTTCTTCTATCATTGACAATATGTTTCTCTTTCTTTTCTTATTTCACACTTAACCACTATATGTATAATTCAAAATTTTGTGTGGTTTAACTTCTTTTTTAGCATAATCATTGATAAATTTGTTTTTTGTCCAATAGTTATTCATATCTTGGTCCTATTTGTAATCACTTTAGTCATCAATATCTAGATATCACAATCAAAGGTATTTATCTTGTTAAAAATTTTGAATTTGGTGAAATAGTTTTTTATAGCCAAATTTTAAATTTGGTGAAAATAGTCATTAATGTCTTTGTCTCATTTTACTAAGATGTTTAACAGTTAGATATTTCTAATGTGTTCCTTTATGGACATGTTGACGAGAAAGTATATATAACACACTCCACTAGTTTTGTGGATAAAAATTTCCTAACAATTTTTGCTGGCTATATGGTCTCAAGTAAGCGCCTCAGGCATGATTTAATCTCTTAATATATTTTTTATAGTAAATTGATTCTGTTTCGAGAAACAAAAAGTTGTTCAATCTTCATCCCTAAATGTGGCTCGACTAATATTTTTATTATTATTTATGTTGATTGTATAATTATAACAGACAATTCTTTTGTTACTATTTGTTAAACCATCTACAACTTTCAAGCGAAAATCTACTATTAAACATTTAGAAAACTTCATATTTCTTTGGTTTAAAAATTATGTATAAAAATAGTGAGTTAATTATCTCTTAATGAAGATATTTTTTTGATTTACTTGCAAAACCAAACATGAGTAACTCAAGAGTTTATTATACTTTAATAGTTTCCATTTATGCTCTTATTAAAACTGGAGATCAAACTTACTATGATCTTAGATGATACTATTAGGGGTTGATGCACTATAATATGTCATCTTGACAAAACCCATTTAGTCGTTTTTATCAATAAACAGTGTCTGTTTATACACAATCCACCCATATGATTATTATGATGCTATGAAAAGCCTTCTATGGTATGTTAGATAAACCATACTCGATTTGTTTCGTCATCTATTTGGTTACAATGATGCTAATTAGGGTGGTTGTTCTAACTACTGCTCTACCAATAACTTTGTTGTTTACTTGAACTCCAACTTTATCTTTTTGCAAGTTAAGAGATAATCAACCATTATATGATCTTCTACATAAAATGAATATAAAGCTACTATTAAGGTCATTGGTAACTTCTATCATTATGGTCAGTGTTAAGTGAACTTATTACCGCTTATCTCATATCTAATTCAATATTTCTTGGTTGAACAAAGCATTTTGAATTTGACTACTATTTTGTCTAGGAACAAGTTATCCAAAAACAACTCAAGGTTTATATTTTATCTTTTAAAGATTAAATTGTTAATATTTTTATAAAACTTTGCTTAAAGATTTCTTTATCAAGTTTTGAGATAAAGATGTGTCTTTGTTTTTCATTGCCATCAACTTCCAATGATGTATTAATAAAATAATAATTCTCTCATTTTCTTTAATGTATTAATTATATATATTATGAATATTTTATATTTAATTTTGTATTTATTACTCTTGATTTACATTTTTCGTTATTGTATAAAAATAAATGTATAGTAATCAAATCACTCTTTCGAATCTCTTAAGTTGACAAAAGAAAAGGGCAAGTAATCTTGAGAAAAATTTGATATTTCAAGTGAATAATTATAGATAAAATGAGTATTTCATATTTATATTAAATATAATTTATTTTTGTTAGAAAAAAACTCAATCTTGTTATATTTTAAATAATTTAAATATGAAGTCATGTTTTTTTAAGAACACACAAAAAGTTAATATTTTTGTTATTTGTCTCATAATTAATTACAAATATTTATGTGGGCAAAATTCTTGGGGTATATACCCAAATTTCCAATTCTTTAGGGACCTCAAAGCAATATCTTAAACAATCGTCAACATTGTAGCGTTAACCACAGTATCCTTTAGGTTTCTTAATTGGGTGTTGTGTCCTATGACTACTGTCTGGTCTTAAACCCTTGCAAGCAAGAACTATCTGTGGTGTCTTTTTCTTTGACGAAAATACCCTAAAACAATGCCTTTATTCCCAAAAAGCCCCACCCACTTGCCCATTCCATTTGCTTGCTTGCTCTGCAAGTGCAACTTCAAGAACTCCCAACACAATAAACTATATTTACCCACTAAAGAAGTCTTCCCAGAAACTACTGCTTTTGTCTTTTATATTTGAAAATAGCTTTTTTAGCAGAAATCCTGGGACCTTTCTGTCTCCATTTTTCTTTTCTTCATCTTCTGCGGAAGTTTATGCTTTATATCTAGAAAGAGCTATTAAAGGGAAGAAAAGGAAGATGGGTATGGGAACAAGCACTTTTGTGATCAGATGGATCAACTTTCTTACAATGGTATTCTTTTCCTTTCTTGTTCTTTCTTTTTTTTGTGAAAAATTTTGGTATGATTTTTCTTAGTCGAGCTAAATTTGTTGTTGCATTTTGGAATGATTCCGCTTCATTTGTATGATTATTCTTTTTGTTAGCATTGTCTCCTTTTGATTCAACAGTTAATTCCTGTGTATGGCTTTGTGATTGCAACTGGCTTACAATGACAGCTTTGTTTTCTGCTGATTCCTGAAATGAAAATTATTTCTGTAATGGCTTTAATTTTATTTTCATTCTATCTGTTTAATTTTACATCTGGGTCCTAAAATTTGCAGCAATGCAGCTTTACTTCGTTCTTTTTATTGATTCTTTAGGAATAAATTTGTCATCTTTTGTATTAAAACCTGCATTTTTATGCGGAAAATTTATGAAGAGTCATGAAAGCAAGATGGAAATAATGCTCACTTCATTTCCTCATCATGCAGCTTTTAGCCGTAGCTGTGATAATTTTTGGAGTATGGATGAGTACTCATCATGACGGGTGCCGGAGGTCTCTGACCCTCCCTGTGTTAGGCCTGGGCGGTTTCATATTTGTTGTGTAAGTCTTTCTTCTGGGCTGTTTGATATTATGAATTTTCTTTTGTTAGATCTCTCCTTCTCTTTTCCCTTATAGTCTGCAAATACTTATATATACAATTTGTGGCTGGATTTTTAGGTCTATAGTTGGATTCTTGGGTGCACTGAAGAAGAACTCCATACTCTTGTGGATAGTATCCTAGTTGAAATTCCTTCCTATTATATATATATATATATATACGTTTCACATTTTGTATTAATTTCCTGATCTTGTCTTCTTATCTTTCTTTTCCTTGGACTTTCCTTTACTTTCCACCTGCAGTATCTAATCCTGCTTTTCATTATTTTGATTGCAATTCTGGTCTTCACAGTATTGGCGTAAGTACTTTTAATGCAGTGGCTGAAATTGATTGGCCTTTCATTTATAGCTAGCCAAAATATATGAGGAGCATCAGCCAATTGCGTTTTAGTTCTGAAATTTTTATGCATCTCAGTGATATTTTAGTTCTGAAATTCTCATGGTTCACGCTCTCAAATTTTTTGCCCTTCAGCATAATGGTGGAAGATAAGCCTTTGAGCTGAATGCATAAATGATATTGTATTTATAGCTAAGCTTAGTTCAAGTGGAATGAAAGTTGTCAAGGAAATATAAATATAAACTGCCTAAGATGATGATTTCATTCCATAACCACTAACTATATTATACTTCTTCAACTGTATCGTGAGTAGAAGACCAATGTGGTGCATCAAAACATATTTTGCCAAGATCTTCTGTTTCGTTAGCCATCTTATTACTCTTGTTAACAGTGATGCTTACTAAGAGTCTACAACTATGACGTGACTAAATGCATGATGAATCAGATAATGGAATGTATTTTTCTTCTTGAAAGTTCTTTTGGATATCAATAGTAGAGATCTGATTAGAGCCGAGTCTGGTTGATTACCATTAAAGAGGAATCTTGTTCTTAACCCAGTATGTATATAATTCCAATTTTAAAACTGTTAGCTGTTCAATTTTGACAGAAATAAAATGTCACTAAAGTCCTTTCATGTTCAATTTCACCAATGTAGATTTGTAAGGTTAAGTTCAATTTCACCAATGTAGATTTGTAAGGTTTTTAGGTGCATAAGGTTTACTTGAGGTACTAATCATTTAGGTGGCATTGATTCCTTAGTTCTGTTGCAAGGAAAATATGAGTCCTAATGGTAGGAATTAGAATCGAAAACAAAATGCATTTTAATAAGAAATAAGAGCAGAAAGGATGTTCTCTTATATATCTGTTTGTCATCAATATGTTTAGTTTGTGTCATAGAATGGCCCAAGAGAATGTAACTGGTTGGAGTAGAACTTCCGAGTCAACTTTCCTTTGATAACTTTCTAAAACTTTCTTTGCAGGTTTATTGTCATCAATATGTTTAGCTTGTGTCATAGAATGGCCCAGAGAGAATGTAACTGGTCAGAGTAGAACTTCCAAGTTTACTTTCTTTTGATAACTCTCTAAAACTTTCTTTTCAGGTTCATTGTAACAAATAGTGGGTCAGGCCATACTGTGGCTGGTCTAAGGTAACAGAACTGCAATTCATTTTGAGGGCATGATTGTTAATATTGTTATTGTATCGTGTAGTTCCCAGTTTGTAGAATTCATTTATCCCGTCCACTAGTGCAAATGATGTGAAGAGAAATATCTACAAAAGGGATACATCCGTTCTCTTCTTGGTCTTTCTGCATGCATGTGTACGTGGCTGTGTAAATCTATATGGCATGTCTTCTTCTTGCACTTGTTGGACATAGGCATGCATTTACCACCTTATCTCTTTATTCCACTGTCTTCATGTGTGTGCTAGTGAGTAATCATGTTGATGTCTGTACTTGTTAGTTTTTTAACTTTTTGTTCATAGACGAGTAAACCTTAAGGGATCCAGAAAAAATGAAAAAGAAAGAAACGACTGAATCATTACTCGTTTGAGTGAACCATTTCTAAGTATCATGTCGTTTTTGGTCTTTATTAAGTTTCCTATACTGGACAGGTACAAGGAGTATCAACTCAAAGATTATAGTTCATGGTTTCTAAAACAGGTAAGTATTTCTTTCTTATAGCATATACACCTGAGTGATGCAGATAAGAAGATATTATTTTGAAAAAGTCATTAACAATAGAAGTGTTCTGTAAATAATTATTATCATTTTGTACTTTTAAGTTATTTAGGTTTACTTAGGTTTTGAAATATTTTTTTAATTCCTATTTAGGTAGATCAAGTTCTTCTCAAAAGATATTTAGTAGATTAAGCATTATAGGAATTTACAGTTTTTAGATTTTCTCTTTTATAATTTTCTATATTAGTTGCAATTAATGCTTATATCTAGGCTAATAGCTATTTGGAAATAATATATTATGCTGAGTTAATAATTTCATGTTCGGGGTTTATTCTCGATTATCTCTATCTGTATTTATTCTTTGGATTATTTTTCTATCCAACCTATCTTGACCACTGTATTTCTCCTTATATTTCTTCAGCCGATCTTTAACTTTCTTTGGCAGATCTTTATTCTCTTATTTTTCACCTAAATTTCATCTATATCTGAACTTGTCCTGATTCATGGGACAATTTATTTTAATTGCTAGTCATCTTGCTAGCACTTCTATCCGTACCTTCTGGACACTTTTACACCGGATAAAAAAGAACTAATTTTTCCACCACATCCTGATATATATATATATATATATATATATATATATATATACACACACACACATTCAAAATTAGGAAAGGATGAAATATTTTGGAAGGATTAAAAATTGAGCTTAGAGGTGAAAAACTTGAAGTTTGTTTTGAATCACTGGCGGTAGCTCGAGCATTAGTTATTTATATTCATGCTAATAATGTCGAGCAACTTCCTCCTTTCAAGAATCTTAGTCTATCTTTTGTTGCTATTTAAGTAGTTTTTATCCATGATGACTATATTAAAGAGATTTCGCGGGATAATTTTATTTCAATTTGTTGGTTCATTGAAGAGAATGTTCGAGGTTATTCTATCTTGATAATTCATCTAATGAAAACTTGAGGTTGAGTTTTCACCCAGTAGATCAAAAGATGCAACAGAAGATGTTATTTCAAAATGAATTTTCAATTAAAGAAATTATTTTTAAAATTATTTATTATTTTATATGTTTTAAGTTAGTTAGCCTTATTTAAGCATTATAATGTTTTAGTTTCCTATTTAGATAGATAGGAAATTAACTATATAGGAATAAGAATCTTGGAGATTTTCTCTTTAATAATTTTTCATATAAGTTCTAATTAATATAGAAGTTAGTAGCTATTAACAAAAAGAACATACAAAGATGAATCAAAAATTTCTCCATTAGGTTTATATTCATTTTATCGCTCTCTGTGTTCATTCTTTCGATTATTATTTTGTTTAACCTATCTCGTTCAGCGTATTTCTCTTATATTTCTTCACCTTGATCCCTATATTTCCATAACTTATTTTGATTCTTCTGTTTCTCACCTAGATTTCTATATTTCTAAAATATTCGTAAAACAAATTAGTTTAACGATTATTTTTCCTTTATTATAACTTATACACTGGAGTAATGTGTAGTTATCTTTGGAGATAACATGCCCGATCGCTGAATCTATAAACAGAAGCAGTGTAATATATATTTATTCTTACTATATACTTCTTTCTTCAGCTAAACAATACTAATAATTGGAAGCGGTTAAAGACTTGTCTCGTGAAATCTGATGACTGTAATAACCTGGCAAACAAGTACAAGGTTCACTTCTCAACTTGCTTTCGTTACTATCTGATCTCTGTGCTGCCTAATTATAATGCTTTAGCATGCTGGTTACAGACACTCAAATCGTACAAGTCTGCAAAACTGACCCCTATTGAATCTGGCTGCTGCAGACCACCATCTGAGTACGTCTCCGTGATATTCCTTGTTGTAAATTTTATTCCAGAGAATTTGTTCGTAGAAGCATATAATGGATTATTGTTCTGTTGGAATTCACCTCATTACACAGGTGCGGTTATCCTGCTGTCAATGCATCATACTATGACTTGAGTTTCCATCCAATTAGTTCCAACAAGGACTGCAAACTTTACAGAAATTCCCGGTCCATCAAGTGTTACAATTGTGCTTCTTGCAAGTATATGTCGTTACTTTTGTATCTTATTTTTCCCTTGGTTTCGCCTTGTAATATCTAGGTTCTCGGTTTTATTTACTTGAGTTTCATTATTTTTGCAGGGCTGGTGTCGCACAATACATGAAAACAGAGTGGAGGGTGGTTGCAATTTTTAACGTGGCTCTTTTTGTCATCTTGGTAAAACATATACCTTTTACCAATTTGCAGCAATTTTGAATTCACTATACTACAAATCTAAAACAGACATTACATAAGAACAAAATAACGCAAAGCAGGCTTCAAAATTCTTTTGCATAGCCTGGCTAAATCTGATTAGTTCTTTTGTTGTCATTTCTCCCCAGCTCGACCCCTTATGGACAAAACTAAAAGACGTGCATGCCTCTTTTTAAACTATTTGGTTGTCGCATTTTGTCTTTTGACTTGGTTCTTGTTATTTTATGCACGGCAGTCGATTATATACTTTGTGGGATGCTGTGCAAGACGAAATGCTGCCGGAAATCACTTGAAAGCTTGAACGAATGATTATCTATTTTCAGAAACCTATTGTTGAAAGAGAAGTTACCAATAGCTGCTGAATATTCTCCTGTACCAATGGGTGGTTTTTGCGAGTTGTTCAGTTCAAAGATGGTGGGAAGATCAGCTTGTGGTCAGAGTGTTTTCATCTGAAGCATTGAATACAGTAGTGTGAAATCATTTATTCTTCCATCACGCTGATTGTGAAAAGAAAATGATCACATTATCTCTGTAATTGATCGGTCTTTGAGTATTATCCTATTTAATGTTATTCTCTAACATACACATAAAACCAGGTAGTTTAAAACTAATCACTAATCGATTATTTTCCCGTTGCAATGCGGAAGTTATATTTTGAGGATGAATAAGATTCCCGATCCAACAGTTTTCGCATTATTAGAACTCTCGATGGCAATGTGGTTTAGCATTTATAGGCCTATGATAATGACAGATTGTAATTACGATTTCTTGGAGCTCAAAGCACTAGAGTACCAAGAAGGTATATAGATTTGCCTAGAGATTTACTGAAAATTTTCACCTAAAAACAGCCCATATGTGCCAATTTACTATTTCTTTTTTGTTATTGGCTTGATTAGGTTTTCAAAAAAAAAATAATAATAAAATGGATCTGATCCAAAATATAAATATATCATATATATACCAAATTAAAGAGTATATATATATATATATACTTTGTATACTTAATTGAAATAAAAAACTATGATATATAGTTAAATCGTGTTTATATACTTTAAATTTAACTCAAATTTAATTAAAAATTAACTAGAACGCAACTATTTTTTTTTTTCCTAATAAAACCAAGAGAGATCGTGATAGGTTAATTCAAGTTTACTATATTACAATTTTTTGATGTTCTGCATTGCTATTTGATTGGGGGTGGCAAGAAAATCCTTAACCTAGTAATTTCAAATTGATCTACTTAAGTTTATATCAATTTTCGATTAAAATTGTAACAGCCCCGGAAATTTAAAATGAAATGTATATTAAAAATATCAAATGCGGAAGCGAAGTCGAAAATTCGATTAACATCCCTTACACTAAAACCAAAAACGTGTTCACAATATAAAAAATCAAACTACCTAAAGGAGAAACTTGAAAGTAAAAGCTACAAATATGGCTATGGAGTCTTTAGGCGTCCCCTTCGTCGTCCTCCTGCGGAACTAGCTCGGGAACAAGGTCTTCCTGATCTGAAATGATTAAATAAGGAATGAGCTACACTAGCCCAGTAAAGACATCACGATATCTCACCGTCACGGAGGTAAAGGTGGGTAGAAAACATAAAAAGACCAATGGAGCATAATTTACAACAAAACCTTTTATCAATAATAAAACCTTTACCATTCACTTACCCCGGTGAAATTCATAAGTCAATATACGAAAACAATAACATCATCATCATCATGAAATCATATATAAACTGTATAACGTAACACTTATCAAGCCTTTCGTAATGCAATCGTTACACAACATATTTTTCCTCTTTTACCAGCCCAGTAGTATCCATGGGGATCCATAGGGGTCCCGCTACCCGTTAACCCTTAACACTTGAAATCATATTCCAGGGCCGTCCCCATACCCCGTCCGGTATGGACGCCAAAACTATAAACCTCATTACCCCGTCCGGTATGAGGGTGAAACGGGCCGTCCCCATACCCCGTCCGGTATGGGCGCCAAAACACATAAGATCTCCATACCCCGTCCGGTATGGGAGACCACAATCCCGGTAGGGTTCCCTACGGACCCGGTCCGTCCACCATCTCCCAGGATATCTAGTCAGACTGACCACATTATGCAATTACCCATTTACATAATCTTTCATTCTCTTTTTCCCTCAGTCAGCATTATCAATACACATACAAATAAGCAAGACGATAATTCATGCCAAACAGATAACATACAGTATCAATATCTCAATCATTCAATCCATAATCAGTAAAATAGTAAAATAGGCACACGAAACTATAAAATGAAAACATCAAACTCATGCTGCATTTAAAACTGTAAAACAGGCCCAAATAACAGTTAACCGACAAACACACTAGACTCGGGCTCCATTAGCGACCTTAAACAATTTCACACATTCGTTGATTCATGAAATACCGTTTTATCATTTATTGAACTTTAATACCGTGATAGGAAATAGGGTGAGGGGTCCTTACTCGGTTTCGGGGTCCGAACACGGCTTCACAGTGCGCTTGCAGGCTGTCCCTAATTTTTCCTGAATTTTTTTCGAGGAACTGAAACGCACTACTGGTACCTGCACGTGTTTCAAAAAATCTCAAATTAGGCCCAGGGCCCCTTTCGGCCAATATCGCAACTCCGGCACGGCGGCTCCGCCATGCTCCGGCGACGGCGCCGCCGCAAGCGGCGGCGGTTTGCCTCGGGTTGGCCGTTTTCGGCCACACTCGCATTGGTTCCTGCGATAAAACAACCCTACGGCCCTCGGGGGGCCGAAAATTTACGGAAAACCGAAGCTTACCGTCGGTGGTGCTCTCGGGTGCGGCGGCTCTTCGGTGAAGTTCGTGTTTTGGTGATTCGGCTCCGATCAACCTGTAGAGAAAAGAATGGTGATCACGGTGATATAAAAATTGCATTAAACGGAGGCAGGGAAGGGCCTCATCGGAGGCAAAAATCGAGGAGGGGCGCGGCGGCGCCGCTGGCTTTCGGCCGTGTTTTTCGGCCGTTTGGCCAGGATTTTGGCTTCGATTTGGCCACTGGAGAAATCAACGTGGAAAAACGAGTCGGGGGTATGAAATTTACCTCGATCGGCGGTCAGAAATCTCCCCGGTGCGGCGGCGGGTGGCGGCGGTCGGCTCTGGTTCGTCTTCTCCGGCGAGGGCAGGCGGCTAGGGTTTTGTGGTATGGTGTGGGGGTTCTATTTATACCCTTTTGCCTTTTGATCTTAGCCGTCCATTTTGATTTAATCTGGGTCGTCCGTGCGATTAAATCTGGGTCGTCCGTGCGCGCGATTGATCTGGGTCGTCCGATCGTGCGCACGTTGATCGCCAACATGGCCCGTCCCGGATCGACGTGGTCTTGCCACGTGGCAGGTCCCGGTTGGCCGGGACTGCTGACTGGGTCTGCTGACATGGCTGCTGACGTGGCCCCTTTTTTTTTTTTCTCTTCTTCTTTAATTTCCCGGGCGCTACAAAAATAATATTGAAAGTAAATGTAAAAATTATAATTTATTTTATTTATTAATTTAAATTTAAATAAAATTTATCTTTTAGAAGATTTAATTTATATTTATCTCTTAAATAATAATATATTAATTTTAAAAAATTTGAATTTGATGTAAATCTATTTAAAAACACTTTAAATTGTTAATTTTGAAGTGAGTAAAGTCAATAAAAATTTAGTTTTTCTTTACATAAAAAAATCTCAACAACTAGTATCAGAGCTTTCTTGATCATGGGTTTGTGAGAAAAAAAATATATATGAAGAAAACAAGTGAGTTTCATACATCAAATATGGTCTCAAATACTTTTTCTTTGACTTCACCTCCCATTTTCACAGGGAAAAATTATTAATTATGGATTATAAAAAATACAAACATATCTACAATCCTTTAATTTGTGGAATGTGATTGAAAATGATGGTGAACTCCCACCATTGTCATCTCATCTAACTGCAGTTCAAATAAAAAATCATAATGAAGAAAAATTCAAGAAGTACAAAGTAAAAACTTTTTATACTATTCAATTTCTGAAGTGATTTTTACTAATATTATGACTTGTGAAACTCCAAAAGAAATATGAGATTTAATTAAAATTAAATATTTAGGTAACAACTAAATTAGATTAGTGCAAGTTTTGTGTAACACCCTAATTTTATTTTTATTATTATTATTGGAATTATTATAATTTTATTTTAATTTTTTTATTTGATTTATTTAAGTAATAATATAATTGTTTTAATTTAGTTTAATTTAATTTAATGAAAATAAAAATAATAATAATGATAAAAATGGGTAAAATTAGTTTTTAGGGTTTAATTGAAAACAATTTTGGGAAAAATGGGTGAAAATTCAGATTCTGTGGGTGTTTTTGAAAAAAAATCGGAAACTAGGGGGTCAAAACACAATTTAAAAAAATTGCACAACGTCAGCAGCCACGTCAGCTGCCCGGTCAGCAGCTCCGGCCAACCAGGACACGCCGCGTGGCAGAGACACTGACGCGGGAAGGCCACGCGGAACGGGCCACGTGGGCGATCCGCATGCTCGTGATCGGACGGCTGAGATCCGTTCTCGTGTGCACGGACTGCCCAGATCAAACGCGCGCGCGGACGGCTCAGATTACACGCGTGCGGATGGTCCAGATTGAATCACGAACGGACAGCCCAGATTACACGCGCGCGATGGACGACCCAGATTCATTTATAATTTAATCGCGATCTGACGATCTAGATTAAATCGTGATGGACGGCTCAGATTAAAAGAAGAATGTTATAAATAATCTTATCTACATCCAACCCCAAACCTTAGCCGCTAGAGCCCTCGCCGGAGAGACAGCCCACCACCAGAGGAACCGACCGCCGCCACCCACGCAGCACCGGAGCACTTT